TAGTTATTCCACTTTTTATTTGTAATAAGATACTATTAAATGTTAATATTTTAATTTTATCATTATTTTAAAAGAGCTAAAAATGAGTTAAGGTTTTTCGTTTAGGACATTGATTGACATACTCTTTGATTTAATAAATTATATAATATATTTATTAAAAAATTATTATTATTTTATTTAAAATTAAAAATAGACATACTTAAAAATCGATATAGCCATACATACATTATATAAAAATCAACTAAATTGATTGTATTTAAATTATATTTTAATGATTGAATTGAATAAATGTCAAAAGATATGTTAAATCAAAATATGTACCAATTATTATTTTTTATTTACTAATTAAAATTAAGAGTGAAAAAAAATATAAATTCTAATTATTATAATAACTAATTTTTTTTGTAATCATTTGTGAATAGAATAAGATAATCAGACAAAAGGAAGTAATATTAAATTATGAAGGACTAAGGGCACCTGGACGTAGGTACAGTGCACCTACCCAAATCATAGTAACAAGGTAAAATCATATAAAGTGAGGGCAATTTTCCCTAATTTAGCTAAATTCATAGTTTTAGAAATTAGAATTATATTCGAATGTCTCAACTTAAAAATTAAATTTATTAAAATTGAACGAAATAAGTAATTAGTTAGGGATTAAGTGCACCTGCACATAGGTACGGTGCACCAACCCAAGTGATATAAGTTAATTGCAATTTTCCCTAATTTAGGTATATGTATTGTTTGTTATTATTTATTATATATGAATTATTTAAGGGCACCTACATATGTACAGTGCATCTACCAAATTCGTATAAGGTAAAATCATATAAAGTAGTAGGTACAATTTTTCCTAATTTGGCTAAATATATATTTTATTTATATGTTATTAATTTTTTAAACCTTTAAAGCAAATTCATTTTTTCTTTATCTTATGTTGTATAATATGAGATAGCATTTGATCTCTTGTTCTTTAATCCACATCACTCATATGTTAGATAATTTGAATTTAAAATTTTTTTATTTTCATCAAAATAAGATTACTATTAAATTATTTATGTTATTATTAGCTTAAAGTAAATTTCATTCTTAATATTTAATTACTTTCTCTATTTGAAAATAATTGTTCCCTTTTTATTTTTTTTCTAACCCTATGTTTGGGTTGAGGGGAAGGGGAGGGGAATTATACACTTCCATTCCTCTTCATTCCCCTTCCCCTCCTTCCCTCATTTGGATAACCAATTAAATTAAAAGAAAAAAAAAATGAAAGAAATTTTTTCACCACCCTCTCTCTATAAATTAAGAATTTAAGAATAATTTATGTGTTTACTTATAATACCTTTAAAAAAGAGATATAAAAAATAAAAAAAGGTTTTTGTAATTTGATGATTAATTGAAGTTAATAGATAACAATAGAGTTAAAATAAACTAAAATATTTTTTTATTTTAAAAAATAAAAAAATGATAATTAATTTATACAATGTACCTAGAGACAGTGCACCTACCCAATTCATATTAGGTAAAATCATATAAAGTAGACGCAATTTTTCTTAATTTGGCTAAATATATATTTTTTATTTATGTGTTATTAATTACTTCTTCCAATTCATTTTTAATAGTTTTAATTTGACTTTCTAACTTTTAGACATAAATTTTAGATAAAAATTTAACAATTTAAATGAATAATAATTGAAAAGTTTTTTTTATAAGTTAAAAAATCAAATTAAATCTACTAAAAATAAACAAAAGGAACAGTATTTAATTACTCCTGCTATCCAAAAATAAGTGTTGTT